TCGACAAACACCACCGGAATCACCTCAATCGCCAAAAAGAAAAAGTTTCGAAAGAAACATCGGCCTATTCAGAAGCTGCCACGTCGCCGGCTTGAGACGTCTCACGAGTCTCACTCCCTTGATCCGTATCAGACAGTTTCGCTTAAATAAGATTATTTTTTATTAATTAAATCGGCTGATACTCATTATGTATCACTTATTGTCCACTACTGTTCGCTTTCTAGGTAGGCGCACTGCAACTTCCATCTAATAGGCTTTTGGCAGACCATACTAAGCTTCCGAAACTGACCATATAATCAGGCAGCTCGAAGAGAACATGGAGTCCTCTGTGAGCAAAATCTTCAAGAAGACAGTCCAACATCACGTCTTGGAAGGGTTTTGCGATTACCAAAAAGAGTGATGGTTCAGAATTGGAAAATGTCCACTTAATCATGTCCCATGCCATTATATTAATATGTGTGCTTCCAAACTCTTCAGGTACGGGATGGACACTCATCCCCGAGTTGTAATAGGCATGCTCCAGTTCATTTGAAAGTTTTCCCTCGTCAACATAAACCGTGATTGACAGAATTTCCACAAAACCCTTCTTCAAAAGTGTTGATTCAATATTCCACCCCAACAGCGTGGGATTGGATGGGCAATCCTCCCCAAGCAGCCAGAAGACAGCAATCGGAGACGCTGAGATAGTTACACAAGATGAGACCGTATAAACGATTAAATCATGAATATGATCGATAAGATCAATCGTCTAATAAAATTTACTATGACAGGGCCGAACTGATAAATGAGACAGAGACAGACAGACAAAAAAAATTCAGAAGAGAGTTAGAAGATGTTACATCCACGTTTTCGACTCTCCTCTCTGAGCTTCCGACCTTGTAACTTTACGGTTTGGTTGATACGCATTTCTCCATCTCGTAGGTTTTTGCAAAGCTGCAACGAGACCTCCTCAGAGGGTCCTAGGATAAGGTTGAAACCTCGGTGTTCCAACGCTTCAATAACACTGTTGCACTTGGTGTCGGGTTTCGAGATAAACATGAAATTTTGTGGTKTATCYTCATWGTTCATCGCCCAGAAAAGAAGGTCCAATAACATCCTCGTAATTTTTGCATATTTATTACCTGGAAAAATATATATCATGGCAGATCGGGATTAACAGACATATACAAGGGAAAAAAACGAGAAAGGAATGGAGGGTTTACACTCACTTTCAGTAACGACTCTGATTAGAGGGTCTACAGACATGAAATCACAATCAGGACCAGTTCCGCACTTCCACTGAAGATCCATGTAATAATACTCATTGGCATAAGGCCTTATTAACACTTTATAACCCTTTTGACAAAGACCTTGGGCGATTTCTGTATCATCTGTTGGGCAATGCTGGACATCCACGAAGAGGGTTATCTCAGACCCTGAGACGAGAATGTAGAAACAATTACATCATGAAGATCAATCAACCATTAAGTTTTACAATGACAGACTGCGAGTTAGATCCAAGACAGCTAGGGACAGAGCAATTTCGAATAAGAAATAGAACTTACTGCCAAATGGTTGGGGATACAGAGAAGCTAGTCCATCAGAAAAACCAACATTCTCCTCTCTGTCCTTCAATTTATGGTTCAACTGATGGTTAAGACCTTGTAAGGTTTCGCTTTCGTCTAAAAGGCTTGTCAAAAGCCATTTAAAGCTAACAGTTTGTAGCTCACTTGGTGAGAGATCTTGAGGCACTGCTAAAAGAACGTTGTAATACCTATCCTCCAAAGCTTCAAGGGCATTAAGGAAATCTGTGTCCTTTTTGATGTTTCTTATGGTTCAAAATAGTTGGCAGGATTTTCCAATGCCCACAAAACTATGTCCACTAACATAGTATGAACTCTTGCGTATTTATCCTCTACAAGTGTAACATTATCAACGTAGAGACAGAGAAATATCTAAGTTAAAGAAAAACAGAGTATAATATTCATTCACCTAGTTGGCGATTGTGAATGATGGTGATTCCGGCCTTCTCATAGTCATCGAGCAATTTACCCCATAAGTATTCGTTATCAACATAAGCCATAATTGACACCTGACCAAGAAAACCCATCTTCTCGAGAATTAGGTCCATCTTGCGACGAACCAAACTAGGACGAACACCCCTAGGGAAAGGGAAATCCACAACGTCCCAGAATACACATGTGCGAGGCTCTGCGGGGAAGGTTTTAAAATACAGAAAGGGGATTAAAAAAATCAGATTGATCATGGATTATTCGAGAGAACGAGG